GCGGACCACTTCCTTTGACTACCTTTCGTGTTGTGACAGGTGACATGGTCTATCATGGTAATAATGTTGATGATATCTATGTGATAAGTGGACATGTTAAATGAAAGAAATGAAATGATATGGACAAGATTAGAAACTCATCAAAGTTCTATGTTAGTGGAAAGTAATGCCAGAAGAAAGTCAAATTGCTTGACTCATATTTTCGAAATTCTTTAAAGCAAATATTAATTAAAATAACTACAGAGAATAAAAGTCGAATTTGTTACAGAACACTTTTCAACAATAGCTAAATTACTGTTATTAGAACTTATTACGCAGAACAACAGTTAAAACTTTCATATTTCTTCCTATTTGAAATAACTTCATAGTAAATTAGATATAATTATGACTAGGAGTATACCCTTTATTTAGCTTCGAGATACCGTCACAGGTAAGAAGAAAAGGCGATTGATCGACTTACCTAGGCACACGATAAATGCTTTTTAGAGTTGAAGATGATTTCTTCTCTCTCGTAACATTAATATGGCATTTAAGCCCCTGTTCCTCTCATATGTATTTCTGAAAACTCCATTGATTTAATCCCGGCCCTTATCTCTTTGCCGTTGAAAGCCGCTCCTGGCTTATTCAATCCGATAATAATCGATTGTTAATGTTTTACTCGCATTTATCATCTAGCCGGAGAGCACTTCAATTACCATATGTGCGAAAATATTGGCCAGCGAACGGGCAACTGAGCACGGAAATCGTTGCTGAGTGCCATATTTCATATTTGATACTCATATTATAGATGGTATATGTCGCATTTGGCGCTCAGTTGCCAAACGCCAGTTCGATGAGAAAGACGCGAACCAAATAAAAATATAACAAAGCGCGCTGTGACACAAAAATAAAAGACACATAAGAGTGTAGTTGATCCATTAGAGATATATTTGTGAATCTGCAGAGTGCAAGTCCCAGCCTAGTGAAGCGTCACATGAGATTGCGAAAAGTGAAAAGCGAAACGAGATTCGGTTGAGACCAGTATGGGCCATTATCAGCATTAAATCATGGCCAACAAAGTTGGGCCACTAAAAATCCCATACGCTTGCTTGCCAGGCACTTTATCGATTTTGTATTTTGAATATTGTTGCGCCATTATCATCGCATTTATATAAGTGATAATTATATTAGGCGTTTATCTGGCCATCGCTGGCTGCAGTGCGGCTCGCTTGATAAACAAAACGCTTGTGTTTTTTGTTTATCTTTCGGATTACTCATCCGCAACCAGCGACAGAAACAACTTACGGGTTTTGTGCAAAAGAATAACATAGAACAATGCAACCTTAAAGTTTCGTCGAAAAACCAAACTCGTCTCACATTTAGAAAAAAATGTGCTAATCGTATGTGCAAGTAATGAATAGGAAAAACAACTCGACAGGTGTCTGGCATGTGATACCGCGACTGGGGGATTAAAGCTAACAGGTGTGTAAAATACGAACTTCAAGCAACAGCAACAGCAACAGCAACGACAATAGACCATAAATCGATTAAGACTTATTAAAGGGGTGTTAAAATTGACACAACATTTTTGGCCTTCTCTCAACATAAGCAAGCTAATTGTGCACAACGATAAAGCAACATGCGAATGTTTAATTATATTATTTATATTTATAATTTTATTTATGCTTCAATTCAAGCAATATTCAAATGATGCAATCATCTATTCAACGCTAGCTATCTCTCAGTCAGGACACATTAATCAAACCTCAATTGCGGCTTGTTCGCATTATACAACGTTTGTTTTCCACATTGCCAAATGATAACCGATAACAAAAATATATAATGTGACCGGGCGGGGGCTGGAGGGGGCGACGGAAGTGCAGACAGCGCGAATTATACAAACACAAACATGCTTAGATACGCGCATGGGCGAGTATGGGGAAAAGTTTATAGCGCCCAAAAACGTGCTATACAATGGCCAACTGAACAAACAAGCCAGAAATAGACCGCATTCAGCTTAAATATAATATAATTATATGTGTATTTTCATATGTGCGACAGATAACATAAAGGCCCCCATTTGATAAACTTGTTGCCAACTTTTCCAGCCAGGTGGGCAGCAACCGCCAAAGGGAACTGAACATCTTTTCTCGGTTGCAAATTTCATATGCAGCACTCGTTAAAGTAAATTGAAAAACTTCAAGAGACACTCGGACAATCGGACAGACAGTTGGCAAAGCATAAAAATTGAATTGTATTTAAAAGTGCGAAAAAATAAATGTTAATGTACTGGACCAGAGAGAAGAGCGCATGAAATTTGTCGAATCAGCGTGCTTGCCAAATTTAATTCTCTTTTTTATATATATATATATATGTATATATATGGTATATATGTACATATTGTTTGTCTATGTATGTGTGGGTCTTGGCTGCTGCGATTTATTGGAATTTGTTTCTGTTAGGTCTACAATATGCCCGACAGCATTTACTTTGCCCAAAAGTATGCTACGATTTCTATACATGACGCATATGAATGAGATCGCGCGCGTGTGTTTGTGTACGACCGTGTGTGTGTGTGTGTGTGTGTGCAACCGTGTGTGTCTAAATGCTAATTTGAATAATGAGAACGACATCAACGCGCCATTTTCTAGTTGTTGACTGTCATCATCGTCGCCGCCGTCGCCGCCGTCGTCGCCATTTTGCGTTTCCGCTGCGCCATCGTGAATTTAACTTGAATAAACTGTTATATGGAATATGGGAGTAAATAAACCAATACAAAACACATATCCGATGCGGGTAACCTACACGACGTGGCGCGTGCCCGACCGCTTCGGCATAAAAAAAAATGTTAAAGTTTTAATGCGCTATGCGGCTGAAATGCATTAAGAACAGCATTATCCTTTAATGCCTTTTAAGGATTGCTGAAATATAGCTGTTCTTGGGCTCAAACGATTGTTTATGCTTTAAGAAAAAACAGGCAGCTTTCCATTTTGTTTAAAAGCTAGAAATGAAGACAGCTTTAAAGCGACTTTTTAACAGTTTAATGGAATATGTTATTTAATTATTTAGAATTAAACTTCCCCCTTTTTGTTTCGATTCGTGAGCAGAGTTTATTCTAGCATTGAGGCCAGATTTCGATACAAACCAGAATAATATGAATATATATTGAATAAGTTTATTTATTAAAATCCTAGCCTTAATATCAATGTGTCTCATCTCTGACATTTTGGCCCTGCTGAATTTTCTATATAAGACGAGATATTTATGATTATGATAATATGAAAATATTTGTGGTTGTTAACATAATGCATGTTTATCTCAATTATGCTACTTATGTTTAAGCAATTATTTTAGTTATTAAATTTGCCTTGTCTGCAAAAATGAAAGCAAATGTTTGCTCAATTCTATGACATTTTAAAGCAGTTTCCTCGCCCTTTACATATCATCAGGACAAACTACATAGTTTTATATTAATCATTTCCTATGGACTGACACATCCGTTCTAGTTTATTGTCGCCTACCCCGGGGACCGGCCAGCTTGGCAAATGGCTTCACGCCTGGTCGAAAATGTCAGCGCTTAGAAACCATTTACATTCGGTGCCAGGCTCAAACTTGATTGTCACTTGCAGCATCCTTGTGTGGAGAGGAAGTGTTTGTATTCATTAGAAGTGTCGTCGCCTCTCACTGGCCCAGAGATAGGGAAGGCAATCAGACTTGGCTCACACAAGCAAAATTAAATCGTTGACAACTTCAAAGCGAAAATTGAAAGCTAAAGCCTCATTGATGTTGACGATGACGATGATGATGCTCGCACCCGCCTTCCATATACTTCTTATTAAAGCCAACAGCTCAGAATATATACTGTTCACTTATTGCAGAACCGCCGAGGAGGAGCCGGAGCAGGAGCAGGAGCGCAACATGGATGACGATGACGACAAATTGGTCTCGGATGAGGTGCATCTGCGGCAGCTCAGTTCGACGCCATCTTCAGCGCTGCAGCAGCGCCGCCAGAGCAACAGCGTAACACATTCCGCGCCCCCGGAGCTAACGCAGCGCGGCCAAGCACTGCAGGAGCCGGAAACTGAGCCAGAGCAGGGCGTGGTGCTGCGACGTGCCGTCGACAAGGGGGCGATTACCTTGGCACAAATAGACGATCTAAGGCTGGAAAGCGATGACGATGACGTGAACGACGACGACGTGGACAACGGACACGGTCTGAGCAATCCCGCAGCGCTGACCACAAATGATGAGCAGATTACAGTCACAACAATGGCAGCTATAGCCACAATAACAACCACAACAACTTTAACTACAACAACAACAATAGCAGCAGCAACAGCAACAGCAGCAACAAGCGAAGCAGTGGCTATGTCCGAGGTAAGTTGAATTGTGCCCAGCACTTAGGGCTAATTAAAAGCTAAACTGTAACAAAAACAGCAGGAAGCAGCCACAGGCACGACGTGCACCCCAACTCTGGATATGTCCAAAATACCACGGCTGCCCGGCGACGGCGCCCAGATGGACGACAGCGGCGATCTGCCGCATTCGCTGCGTGCCTCCACAGCATCAATTCTGTCCAATTTGCGCAAGAAACAGCAGGCCATGCTCGGCGTCGGCCTGGCCATTGACCGAACCGAGGGCACTGGCACGGCCAAGCCAACGCCGCGGCGTGTGCAATCCGTGCGCATAGTGGAGGCTAAATCTGGCTATGGACCCAAGCGACGCACCGAAAGCTGCAGCATATTTGGCAACAGCAATTTTGGTAAGCCAAGCCAGGTTTAACCGACCGCAATTAGGCTCGGGCGGCCCTTGCAAGGCAATTGATAGCCATGGCCCTAAATGCCAGATTTAAGCCCTTGAGAAAAGAGTAATGCATTTATCACCTCATAATTATATAGAGTCTATATAGTCTGATGATAATCCTGGATTGAAACTCTATATCAGAGAACATTAATCGGTCAGATGTGGAACTTTTTTGAGTTACCTTTTTTTTTTGTCTTGACATATCCAAATATACAATCTATATTCGGACTATTCAGACTACAATCAGACATAAAGGAGATCACTCGAAAAATTGTATTTGTTTTGAAGTTTAAGCTTCTACCAAATCTCATAATTATGGGCATACTATATCACATAGCTCCCTTATTAGAAAAAGCGGCCCAAAATTTAGTTCCCTTACCAAAGGGTTATTAATTAATTTTAGAATATCAAAAATATGCTCTAAAAATCCGGTTCGACATCTAGGTACTCCTTGATTGTGCTGCGTTCTGTAGACACTTCATTCTACTATTAAAGTACACATTTTATGAAGTGCACGTCTCGCGCTTATTTCTCTTCACTCCCGTAAATATATATAACTGCTTGTCGCAGCTGTTTTCCGAACTTATTCAATCTACGTCAGTGTCAACAATAATTTGATATGAAATATATTTTTTCTACAACATACGATGAGATACAGTGAGATTTGCAAATTACTACAGCTGCTGGTTACATTGGCATTGGTTCTTAGCGGCAAAGAGGAGTCAAGAGTGAGTCGAGTGAAGCGTCTGGCTACACCCAATTACGATCAGGAAGTGTACGAAAGCATGGCCAAATATGTCGTATCGATTAGGTCGCGATCGCCGAAAAGATACTTTGGCGACAATCATTTCTGTGGCGGCTGCATAATATCCCCCCGATTTGTGATATCAGCCGCAATATGTGTCATGGAGTAGGTATATAGCATCCAGATATAATTACTGATCCAGCAGTAATCCATTTTCAAACAAAAACAGAAGCGATCATAAGATATTGCTTCGAAGTCGGGTGCTGATGGTTGTTGCTGGAACACCGAACCGTCTGAAGATTGTCACCGGTCAGACTCTGAATGTTCCGGTTGCGGATATATATGTCCCAGGCAACTATACCGTGTACAATACAAACAATATTGCGATTATGAAGCTGGCCTATGACCTTCCCTCCGAGAGCAAGCACATTGGCATTATCAATCTGCCCACCCAACCACCCGATACTGATCTTATTTATAGGGTCCTGGGCTGGGGGCGTGTTTTTAAAGTTGTGTTGACTCCAATGACTCCAATTGTCTTAAAGAGCTGAGCTCATGCTATCTTATTGTTTACAGGGCGGTCCTCTGGCGTCCAGGTTATTGTATATCGATGTCACGTTACAGAAAAGAAATGTTTGTGAGTCTATGATCAAAAATTTCAAGCCGGAAATGTTGTGCGCCGGCAATATGAATTCTTCAAACGATGCAAATCCCTGCCTGGGCGATTCCGGCGATCCGCTATTATTGAATTTAACAGTTTATGGCATCGCCTCATATGGCCTCGGCTGCGGTTACGGCAGTATGCCATCGGTCTACACGGACGTGTGGTACCACATGGACTGGATCAACTCAGTCATGAATCGAAATTTCAGCCCAAAATATCAGTTGCTGCCCCATTATATGTTCCTCTTGTCAATTATCGTGATATTTCCATTTTAAGCGAAGCTGCTTTCTCAGAATGTACTCCATATGTTGCCAGATTGATATATGGAATGCATAATAAAGCATTCAATATGTTGACTTGTAAAGCTGCCCATTTCATTGGAAACAGCTCGCATAACTTTCAAAATAGTTCTTGATCAAGTTAACGAGCTGGTAAATATGCCTGATAACTAAAGTGTTGAGTCATTTGAAGCTTGTCACCCAAGAGCCGAGTAGAAGTAGAAGTAAATCGGAGCAGTGAGGTGACTCTAAGACATTTAAATTTAATTATTGGTAAATATCTGACTATGTAGCTCGTGTAAAAATAGTTTGTTCTTAACGTACTTATGACAGATTATGAACTGGAATCGGGTCAATCCATAGCCAGCATTGCTGGGCCCCAACGTCCGCTGACTAATGAAACGTATTCGGCCTTTAAAAGCGGCAACGTGGTCAAAGGCATACTCTGCCCCTCGCTGACGAACTCATTCAAGCAGAGCTCGCTGGAAAGAAGCTATCTGACCTACACGCACAGGCAACGCCAGAAATCTCTCATAATCGTCAATGTGGTGGACTTTGTGCTCAAGATTGTAATGGCGCTCATTTGGATGCTGCAGCCCAGGGAGGAGCGCTTGGAAATTGTAAGCGGATTAATGTCAAGTGTTTGATGCCAATCGAAAACTATGCCACATTCTCTCTACAGTCCATGCAGAGCTCGGACGAGGCGAGCACAGCGACTGCGATAACCTGGTCGGTTTGCTGTGGGATTGCCAACTTGGCCATTTGCTTTCTGGGCTATTGGCGCTGCTTTGCCAACAATTATTTGCACTGGGCGGCCGTCTGCACATGGGTGCTCTTCAATATACAAGGTGAGATTGGGCTGGCTTGGGCACATAAATCATGCGTCACATGCGCTGGTCGTCAAATGTCCTAATCCTTTTGGCCGTCATAAATGTTTTATTGCCTCTGCGACAGGATTCATCAGCGAAGGCGTTGGCTTCGAGAATCGTGAGTACCTGGTCTGGTACATACTGTTTGTCATATTTGTGCCGTACGCCATGTTGCCGCTGCCGCTCAAATGGTGCGTCGTCGGCGGCACAATCACAGCCAGCTGCCACCTGGCCGTAATCACAATCAACAAATTGCAGGACAAGGAGGTAGTACAAAGCACACACACACGCGCATTTGGATTGCAATTTCTTTTCATATTTCTTTTCTTAGACGCCATTGGATCACAACTGCGTTCTGTTTCAAATCATTGCCAATTTCATTCTGTACACGGCCATTAATGTGGCCGGCATGTACACGAAGTATCTGACAGATCGTGGACAGCGTTTGGCCTTTATTGAGACCCACAAGGCAATGGAGCACAAGAAGGAGTCTGAAAAGGAGCTGCAGCGCACTCAGAAATTGCTCGATTCAAGTAAGTCCCCTTGCAGATGTCCGACAACTATCTATATATCTAAATAAATAAGGTAAGGGCTAGTTCGAAAGTGAGCACTATAATCAGCTTTTTGCTTCGATAAGTCGACGGTTCAAATCTAGCAACAATTTTCAATTTACATTTGTTTCGAGCGAGTAAATTTCTTCTGGTAGTAAGGGAATATTTTATTGTGCTTCATTTGAATTTTAGCTATTTATAGCGTATTTTGTATATGTAAAAGCCATCAGATTAAGACCATAGAAATTGTCAAAGCTGTCAAGAACACAATATTTTGCAATATTTGCAACACAGCTTCGATTATATGCCCAATAAACAAAAACAAGCAACAGACCAGGCTCTCATGTAACAAAAAAAGGCGAGATTTAAGAGAAAGAAAAGCAAAAGCAGCTGTCGGGTCTCAAAATAAATGATATTCCGTAGAACTCAGAGCCAGGTAACTGGAAGCGAATAGCTGCAGGTAATCATTAGGAAGCTGCCAGGATTCTCATATTTGAGGTATGCTCAGTAATTGTGAGTTGCTTAACAAGTGCAGGCCCTGGCAGCATAAAGACTTCAATAGTTGCCTTCTAAATTTACACTTTTTAAGACGAATTCGAAATTCTTTTGCTTTTGCATACCGTTTACAGTTTTGCCCAACATTGTGAATAATCAAATACGCAGCGAAATGTACAAGGGCACGGATCCCACAGTTGAGACGCAGTTCAACAAGTTGTACGTCTATCCCATGGACAATGTGAGCATCCTGTTTGCGGACATTAAGGTAAATAATATTTAAAGCTAATTTATTTGTCTGGCTAACAATTTGAGCTTATTTCTGCAGGGCTTCACGGAGCTGGCGAGCAAAACATCGGCTCAGCAATTGGTGAAAATCTTAAACGACCTTTTCGCCCGTTTCGATCGCATTGCGGAGGTAAGAATCCATATGTGGAGGTGTTCAAAATTTATATTGTTTCCTGATCGACAGGACAATCATTGCCTGCGCGTGAAGCTGCTTGGCGATTGCTATTACTGCGTGTCGCAGTTCGAAAGTGACAATTGGAAGACGCGACCGGATCATGCGGTGTGCAGCGTCGAAACTGGGCTACACATGATAAAGGCCATCAAGGATGTCCGCCTGCATACGCACGTAAGTGACAGGAAATTGTTGTAATGGGCTGCCAATTAACAGCTAATTTTTTCATTCGTGATTTCTTAAGGCAAGCAACTTTTTTTTTTTATTTTTAAAATATTTAATATGGGCAATTCAAGTTTGCAAAGTTTTCGTCTTCCGTTAACAGAACGCACACATATTGCTGCATACTTTTGAGCGCAGCTTGCAATTAACAGCTGCCGTCTAACAGAATGCTGTTAGTCAATAACAGACATCTGCTATGCAGCCGCATGCTGTAAAACGTTGGAAGCCCGCAAATATTTTTTTAAATTTAATGCCGCAAATTTTTCAGCTGTCAGCTATTTGGCATTCCTTTTTTGCAGCAAGCCGCTTTATTTTTACGAATATTGCACATTGTTTTTGCTCTGCCCGCTGTGTCGGCCTCTGTGGCCCGGCCCCGTGTAGTGTCGCACTGGTCCTTGCCGGACGTGTTGACAATTCATTTGTATGCAAATCTCAGCAGAGCAAAAGGCAGTCACAAACGGCAGCAGCTCCGAAAACATGTACGAGTGCTATGTACCCGGGTGCCCGACTAGCGGATACCCTGTGATACGGCTCCGAGCTGATGTTTATGAGCCCATCTTTATGGAACTTTGCAGAAAGCAAAATAAATTTGCTGTTTCAAGCTTTAACATCGATTTTTATCGCTGCATAGTTATCGTATTATAACTGCTCCCGTTTATCTTAATCTTCCGGCTGTTGCATATGTGTGCATTAACCCATTATACCCTACTCTACCTATGGCATCAATTTGTATAGGGTATGCAAGCAACAGCAAGAAATATGTGTTAAATTTTCATGCGCGACAATGTACGAAGTGTGCGAAAAAAAAACCTAATAGATTTTTTTGGCGCAGCGAGTAGGGCAGTCAGCTTCTCTTAACTCCTGTGACCTTTAAGAGCATTTAATGAATGTGAAAGCTGCCGTTAAATAATGACAATTGGTCGACGCAGCCTCCGAGTGACGGTCAGTGCAACAGACACTGGCACTGACACTCTGACAACTGCAGCGACCCTCAAAAGTATGCGCCAATTGCAATTGCAGTTGCAGTTGCAGCTACAATTGCAGTTTCAGTTTCAGGTGCAGCTGCTGCTCAGTCTGCAGTTAAACACGTGCTTTGCATATTTTGTAAATTCTGCACCTGTTAATTCCGCAGGTTGACCTCAACATGCGCATCGGCATACACAGCGGCTCGGTGATGTGCGGCGTACTCGGCAACAAGAAATGGCATTTTGACGTTTGGTCCAATGATGTTATCATTGCAAATCACATGGAATCTGGCGGCATACCTGGGTAAGTTCGGTCACGTCCAGCCTCTAGCTAGCTCTTGCATACATTTGTGTGCTGCCAATCGAATTAGTCGCGAAATTATGCACACAGCATTGCCAGCATGCCCAAGGTCCTGTAATTATCCTTGTTGTCGAAAACAACTGGTAAGCAAAACAAGTCGAAGCAAAACAAGTTCTAGAGCACCGAAGAGCAAATACTCTTTTTGATATATAATCGATCATCGATCGATCATCGATCTTCTTTCTGAACGCAACTATGCAATATATTCATCCGTTCTGGTTGATCTGTTCCTTCGACACAGTTAATGCAATAATAGTTATTATGTAGCAGGACTTCAATTTTATTTAATTAACTCTCAGAGTTTAACTTCTTGGCTTATTCCTAAGTCAGTTTGAATATGCCTTGAGAGGCAATTCTGGATAAATGAGTTTTCTAAGTCTTTTGGGCATCTCAACTTGTATTGCTTTAAGGCAGAGCTCTCCTATATATGACTACTATTCCTAAACATGCTTAAAAGTATGCTATAGCCAACAATTCAGTTATTCAAACAGATTTTGCATTAGGCAAATTTGCTCTTCAAAGTCTAGCTGGTAATTAAAGTCCTTGAGGCGCAAATGGATTAGACACTAGTTGACTGTTATTTAATATTGTTGAATGTTAAAATCAGCACAAAACAATATTTTGGGCCAGCTGGCAGTCTCAGATTTATTGGCAAAAATTCAAGAATTAAATGCGAAACCCGAGCTGCCAAATAACATAGCTGCGCTGTGCTGTGCTTCGAATCTTAGTGAGCCAAATTTTTAATTGGCCAATTAGGGCGTGCTCAATGCTGGCTACCAACAATTGCCTCGTCATTTTCGCAAACTCAGCGTGTTTAGACACAAGAAACCAACACCAGAAAAGGCAACAACAAGCAACTAGCAGAGAATCGGAATCGGAGAGTCGAATCAGGACGACCACAAAGCGAACCGAATAAGATGAAAAGTTGAACAAGTTTCCATTTAATGCAAAACGCTTTGATGTAATTGTGGCCTGGCCAAAAGCCAGAGCCAGAGAAACAGAAATATAAACATTTAACGACAGCAAGGAACAGGAAACCATATTGTAGAGCAATCCAATTACTACGCTCAGACGCAGAAAACGTGGACAAATATTTGAATTTAATTTTCACCAACTAACCAACCAACCGACCTGTCATCTATTTACCACCCACTCAAACCCTT